CCAGCTATTTTATAACATCTGATTTAACTCAACTTACTTTCTGCAACTGTAGAACAAAAGTATCCTTTTCTTCAACAGTACTCGCTGACATTCGAATCGTTTTGTCCAGGTGTTGAATGATGAAATCCTCAGAAGCCTGAAAAAGGAAAATTCAATAAAGCCGATATTGGAATAGAAGTGAAAATCCATTTCCTTTTTCGGCAGGATCGTTCTGCATTCATAAATAGCCTGTGATTCATCGATCGTCGATTTCATTCAAATAAAGCCCTATCTATTTGCGGTTTTAGATTTACGCTTAGTTTTTAAACTTTCATTATTGCAATCACTTTAAAACTATTTGATTTTGACCTATCAAAGATAAACCTTAAAAGATTAGATATGAGATCTTGAAACGAAATGAAAATTGAAATGAAATGAATGGAAAGTAGAAGTTGACTCTTGAAGTCGATGAATTTGCTAGTTTGTGCATTCATTTCTCACCTTTCTTGGATTAATCCCATCAACCATTCGAATATCTTTCAAATGCCATGTTTCTTTCTTCTTATAATTGTCTTCTTTTTCTGCTTTGATGATGTAGATTCGAACAGAGATTGGGTGTTGAGCTGATACTGAATAAACTTTGTTAAAAGGTTTCTTTCATGTGCTTAAAGATTTCTAGAACCTAGAAAAACTCTAGAATTCTAGAATTCTAGGAGTCCTAGAGCTTATTCAAATTTTAGAACTAAAATTCTAGAACTAGAAACCTAAACTTAAGGAATTCTAGAGTTCTTATTCAAAAGCTTATACTATTAGGTGTGTGAAAAAGTAATCCACGTTTTTTATTTTTATCTGATGACCAAATAAGACGCTGTCTTCTCGAAAACCCTCGTTCAACCTCTTCAGAAATAGGCCTTACATTAAATTGTGATGGGTCAACCGTAAGGAAACGCTTGAATGCCATGAATTTTATCAAAAATTTGGACAAATGGATACCGCATGAACGATAACGCGCGACCACATGTCTCTTTACAGACTCGACAAGAAATCCAGAGTGTTGGATGGGAGGTTTTACCACATCCACCTTATAGTCCAAACCTTTCTCCATCTGATTATTATTTATTTTTGTCTCCGTCTAACTTTTTGGCCAATAAACGGTTCAATTCCGAAGAAGATGTCAAAGCCGAGGTTGATCTTTTCTTCGCCTCTAAGGACCAAGATTTTTATTATTGTGGAATGTCTTTACGTGTAGAACGTTGGCAAAAGGTTGTTCTTTCGAATGGTGATTACTTCATTGAATAAAAATTCTAGATGACAAGATGACTTAAATTTACTTAGATTTTTACTAATTTAATTTAACTTACTTAAATTTACTTTCAGACTAGTTTAAGTGTTTTGATTTGTTGCTTTTTCAAAAAAACCTACACGCAATTGCCAAATAAGTCGGATGTTTTCGCCTCTTTCCATCGATTTTCGTCAAACAACCGATCGTCGCGATTCGCTCATTTTCGGGTTGAAAGAGTTGTCGATGGAGTGAGGAACGAATCGCATTCATTCCTATAAAATTTCACAATAAAAACAATAAAGTAAAGTTTAAAATAAAGCTGCAAAAATAAGCAACAAAACCGATGATCGTCATAGTTCTTTGACAATTTTTGGTGTAGAGTACAGTTTTTACTATTGACACTGCGGTTAGCCAGCGTAATCTTTCTTTCAAAATTTAGCGATTCAAGAATGTTTGGTGAAACTTAAAGGAAGTGTTTTCTTTATGGGTGAATTTCGGTAAAAACTTTAACGCAACGCCCTCAAGTTTCGTTTTTATATATAGAAAGAAGGGGCTAGTTGAGAATGCAAGTCACCACATGTGTCGCTTAAAGTTTTATGGAAACCTTACCGAAACACGAGTCCAGATAACGGATTTGCGGCCAAAGAAGACAACTTTTCAGCCAGCATTACTCAGATCAGAGTCGAAAAAACTAGACGCATAATAGCTGATTAATACAGTTGATACGTGTTGCCGTAATTATTGGGCACCCTGTTTTATCAAGCGTAGTCTAGAAACATCAAAATCGCTGGTTGCCTGTTTTCAAAAATTAGCATTTTAAAGGCAAATGGAGTCACCTGGCTTGGGAGTTTCGGGTCCTCCGGAAAGTAAGTGAGGTTATGCATTTTGTTTTGAAAATGAAACAATTTGAAAAACAATTTATTATAAATCAGAAAAAGAAAAACGAAACTAAAAATTAGTTCGATGAGCATTTTCGTCTTCATCGAATCCAGTGGGTATTGGCGGAGCGCTTTGTCTATTTAATCCGATCACTTCGGTCGGTGTGAAGCTTCTCATCATGAAGTTGACAGATTCAGTCTGAGCATTAAACGTATTTTGTCTTTAGTCGAATTCTATCAAACTCTAGAGAATTTATGAAATATACCTCAATGAGCTCCAGCAAGATCTTAAAAACGATTTTAGACGTTGGCCGAGCAATCCTCGATGGAATGGTACATCTAGAATATAGATAATAGCTTTCTAATTGGTTTAGCACGTACAAAGTAATAAAATCGCACAGAGGATGATTGAAGTGAAACTTTGGCGGTTCTAGCTTTCCTTTTTGGCTCAACTCGATGAGAATATAACTTTCTTGTTCAAAACACCACCTGAAAATGAATTTAGTTGTGATAAGCCCAAATGATGCCTACTTTCTTCCAATTAACTCCCACAAAACGACTCCAAAAGACCAAACGTCAATCTTTTTGCTTACCTAAAGAAGTCAGAGTATGCAGAGCTAAAACTCATTATAAGTAAACACAGGGATTTAAAATAGCCAGAAAAATAAACAATCCACAACTCCGGTGCCCTTGTTCGGTCTGTTCCCACTGTTTTCTCTGATCTTTCCGAGACTTCATCGAGCAATGATAGATCAAAATCACCAATTTTCGCTACAAAGTTCGAGTCTAGCATCAAACTGAATCAGTTGGTACATTTTTTACTGTCAATGCTTACTTTGAAAGTTTTATATCCGCGTGTATAACGTTTATAGAGTGGAGGTACGTTAATCCTTTAAGAATATTCGAACACCAACGGTAAATTGTATGATCTGAATAAATCCAGTCGGGACTGAAGACAACTGAAACACATCTTTTTGTTATTCAAAAAAACAAGGACACTTCTTTCCATTGATCCATTAGCTATTGTCCATATAGAGACATCAAGATATAGAGGGACACCAGTACTGAAAACAGAAAGAGATAGGAGAGATCTAGAAAATTTGAAGAGACGCAGAGAGTGCTTGATGGCCTTCCTTTCTCACTTTTTCAGGAATGGAAAGGTGAGAAAAGAAGGAAAAGGAAAGGAAAAGTGAGATAGAAAAGGTTGAGAGAAAAGTCCAATGCCAAAGGGATGGACAACTATTTAAAAGCCTCATCTACCTTTTCACCAACAGCTTACAATTAAAAGTCTTTCTTTACTATGCAAATTACTTCACGTGGTGGACGGTTTATCAGCTTCGAAAAGTTAGTCACTTATTCTAAAAATCTGTAAGTTCTATTTTAAGAAATCGTGTCTTCAAATGCTACCGATTCGATTTTGATCCTGGTCAAAAACTTTTATCTCTTGCCAATCAAGTAGCCTTTCGAAATGAAGTCGAAATTCTGCAGACCATCGGATCACATTCAAACATTGTGCAATTCATCACTCATTTTGAAAAATGGCAAGATGGAATGAATCTCGGTGTTCTTGTATTGGAGCGTCTAGCTAATGGATCAATGGAAAGAAGTGTCCTTGTTTTTTTGAATAACAAAAAGATGTGTTTCAGTTGTCTTCAGTCCCGACTGGATTTATTCAGATCATACAATTTACCGTTGGTGTTCGAATATTCTTAAAGGATTAACGTACCTCCACTCTATAAACGTTATACACGCGGATATAAAACTTTCAAAGTAAGCATTGACAGTAAAAAAATGTACCAACTAATTTAGTTTGATGCTAGACTCAAATTTTGTAGCGAAAATTGGTGATTTTGATCTATCATTGCTCGATGAAGTTTCGGGAAGATCAGAGAAAACAGTGGGAACAGACCGAACAAGGGCACCGGAGTTGTGGATTGATAATCATGTTTATTTTTCTGGCTATTTAAAATCCCTTTGTTCACTTATAATGAGCTTTAGCTCTGCATACTCTGACTTCTTTAGGTAAGCAGAAAGATTGACGTTTGGTCTTTTGGAGTCGTTTTGTGGGAGTTAATTGGAAGAAAGTAGGCATCATTTGGGCTTATCACAACTAAATCCATTTCCAGGTGGTGCTTTGGACAAGAAAGTTATATTCTCATCGAGTTGAGCCAAAAAGGAAAGCTAGAACCGCCAAAGTTTCAATTCAATCATCCTCTGTGCGATTTCATCACTTTGTACGTGCTAAACCATTTAGAAAGCTATTATCTATATTCTAGATGTAACATTCCATCGAGGATTGCTCGGCCAACGTCTAAAATCGTTTTTAAGTTCTTGCTGGAGCTCATTGAGGTATATTTCATAAAATTCTCTAGTGTTTGATAGAATTGGACTAAAGACAAAATACGTTTAATGTTCAGACTGAATCCGTCAACTTCATGATGAGAAGCTTCACACCCGAAGTGATCGGATTAAATAGACAAAGCGCTCCACCAATACCCACTGGATTCGATGAAGACGAAAATGCCCACCGAACTAATTTTTAGTTTCGTTTTTCTTTTTCTGATTTATAATAAATTGTTTTTCAAATTGTTTCATTTTCCAAAACAAAATGCACAACCTCACTTACTTTCTGAAGGACCCGAAAGCTCCCAATCCAGGTGAGTCCATTTGCCTTTAAAATGCTAATTTTTAAAAACAGGGCGATTTTGATGTTTCTAGACTATCTATGAAGGCTATTTATGAATCCGAAACGATCCTGCGGAAAAAGGAAATGGATTTTCACTTCTATTCCAATATCGGCTTTATTGAATTTTCCTTTTTCAGGCTTCTGAGGATTTCATCATTCAACACCTAGACAAAACGATTCGAATGTCAGCGAGTACTGTTGAAGAAAAGGATACTTTTGTTCTACAGTTGCAGTAGATAGATTATAACAATGGATAGATTGATTGAAAATTTTAATAAATTAGTATAAAAATCAGCTAAATATTTAGACATGTCGAGATGCAGTGGAGTTGATTGAGGAGAAAGACATGATGATTTCAATGGGATTGAATCTCTTTCCCTTCTTTTCTTATTGAGTCCATTTTCAGATTAGTACAGTGCGTTATAAAATGATAGGGTCAGGATGTTTTTGATTTGATTTTGATTTGATTTTGATTTGATTTTGATTTGATTTTGATTTGATTTTGATTTGATTTTGATTTGATTTTGGTTTGATTTTGATTCAAAATTCCTAGTTTTTGGGGAAGCTGAAAGGGAAAAAGGTGAAGTTGAAAGAGAAATTGTTATTGTTATTAAAAAGATAAGAAGAAAATTGGTAAGAAAGTGAAGAAGAAAAGTCGAATATTCTTGGCAAGCCTGGTTCTTGGCAAAATGTTGAAGTTCTGAATGTTGAATTTGTTGGATGTTGAATTTCAAAAGATTGAAGTTCGCAAAAGTTCTTTGTGTGATTGATTTTTTTTAGAAAACTCGTTGTGTTTGTAATGTTTTTTACAGGGTTATCATCGGAATTTATTTCTACACATTATATTGCTTTGATAACGACGCCAGATTTGCATTGACATTGACAAGCCGGTATTCCATTCAACTTCACACATTTCCCTGTTTTGCATCCCTAGAATTTGATTGATGCTGGAGGATTTAAATGAGAATGAGAATTTCAAACTTAAAAGTTTATTTTACTGTTTATTATCTTAATTATTGTTTACTTATCTTAAAACAAACAGATATTTTGGGTTTTAACCCATTCAAAACTTCTGCAGCGAATAATCGCAGCAGCAAAAACTCAGGAACGGACCGCTGCAGCGATTATTCGCTGCAGCGCTAATTGAGCTATTTTCATTCAATTAACTTGTTTTTTTTGCTGTTTTTCAGCATTACATGTATATTCCAATTGTAACAGATCTACAAATTACGTGGGCAAAAAAGACGTGTCATATTTACCCGGAATCAATGCAGCCTCTGGTTTTGCATTGAAATGTTCCATGATAGCTCTAATCTTATAAAGCCAATCTCCTGCAGGACCCAGTTCATTATCACAAAAACGCAGGTTTCGAAGAATAGATTCAAATTTTGCTCTTGACATAATGTGGGACATGTGGGAAAATCCTCCTAATCCAGGTCTGCTACTCCAGTAGTCACGAATCTTCGGTAATTTGACGATTCCCATTTGAAGATACAGAGCCAAGAAGAGCTTGAAAGATTATGCATCGAAATCCTGCCAGTTTGTTTTCCCTTTTCCATGTTTATTAGATTCGCCTACTAACATATTGATTAATTTGTCGTCGATAAAATAAGAATAATAATCGATAGGATCTTGAAAACTACTGAAGTCAAATCCAAATCGTTCTTCATCAAAAATAAATGGTGTAGGAGACTCTCCTAAATCTTTCCAACCATCTAGATAAACTGCTTCGGAGTCAAAAATGTCAAAAAAGGGTTTGGTCCGCAGACGAAAAAAAAGAAAAAACGCTACGGTTTCGAATGGGTTAAAGACTAAAACAGACAACTCTGATATCACAAATCTCAACCAACTCACATCCATTTTACAAGCTCCACGACATTTCAAATTTCCTCCAAGAGGATGTTGATCCATTCTCGTGCAAGCAAAGCCTTGTCCAGAAACAGTTGAAAGTGAGAACAAGAATATAGACAAAGAAGCAATAAATGAAGTTTAGAAATCATTTTTGAATAAGAACATGAAAATTCTGATGAATTCACTGAGGATATGTTTGTTCTTTGGACACCCGTTAGATTTAGGACAAGAAAACAGCGCTTGACAGCTGACGGACGAACAAGAACCCGGAAAATGTGAAAAACTAAAAGAAATCTTCTTGAAATCATAAAAAGATTACATTTTTATTATCAATTTCATTCGTTACCGCATTTTCTGGATTTGGATTAGACTCAAGAGTGCTCTTGAAGATTTCACCAAATCCAACGGCAACACTTGACTTCTAAAAGGTTCCAATAGGTACTTAGTTATCAAGAATCCAGTACAAAGAAGTTTTTATATTCGATATTGATTCTGTTTTCTTTAAAATCTACCTTTGGTTGTACAAATTTCCAATCATTCGGATTAACAGCTGTGAAGCAAACGGCTAAAACAAAGAGAACAAAAAAAAAACAAAAAACAAAAAAATAAAGAGCACTCCGCTAGTTCTAAATTTCCATGCTTTAATTGAGAGATTTGATGGCATTACTAAAATACATTAATCATAAAATACTAGTTTAATAGCAATAAAAAAAAGCAGTATATTCACAAGATCAAGCTTGATTTGTTGACTCAGTCAAAGAACGTGTGACTTTTTTTGGCTCATCATTTTATCTCCAATCAGTAAACCACTCCAAATTTACATTTAAAGCTGGTTTTCCCTCTAATTATATATTTTTCCTTCTACTCTATGCAAATTTTGGCTACGCAATATAAAAATAAGAAAGTAAAATGGTTAGATTAGGAATCAGTGTGAACGCCAATGAAACGACGAATGTCACTCCGATCTTTTTGATTTTTATATCAATTATATTAGATTGTTCAGATAAAAACGAGCGTTTGCATTGCTTAGCGCATGAGGAAGCCATTTTCCGCAGCTGATCGTTTTTTATCGTGCCATTTTCCGCATCTGATCGCGTGGAGATGCTCATCAATAGTAGAATTTGAACATAGAAACTGTTGAGCAAGTTCATCGGTCGTTTGACATGGATCTGATTCGATTGCAGCCCTCAAAATATCGTTGTCTACCGTTTGAGGTCGACAACGATATTCTTGATGAGAGTGTTCATCATCCTCCAGACTTTCATCACCATTCCGAAAGCGTTGGAACCAGGCTCGGCATCGGCTTTCGGACAATACATCATTCCCAAATGCTTTGACCAAATCTCAATGGGATTCCGCTACTGTTTTTGCCCAGTTTAAAGTCGTAAAGTAGGCAGAACTTGATATATTTGAAGTCGGTCATCTAAAGCAAGAAAAAAGATCTTAAAAATAAGAAATTATCCGTTTAAAAATATTCCAAATATGCACAAGATAACGCACTTTTAAATACAGAAAGACATGTTTTAAAAGCTTCTCTCACACCTTCTCTCACAACAATAAGTTTAGCAACGCCTGTTTATATCCGAATAACCTAATACAAAATAGGATAAAAATGATTTAATAATGTGATTTTGGCGTTAAGCTTGTCAGTTTTGAGAAAAATCCATTTAAAATTACATTACAATATATTCTTTCTACGCTGAGATATTAGCAATTTCATAGAGGGGAAGACCTAGTTTATGAACTAACTCTTGAAATCTCTTACCTAGTCCAGCTCTTAGCCATCCCCTTCTTTCAGGGGGATGCCCACTGCTCACCACGCGGAGGTGGCTGGACATCGAGCAGCGCCCCTTCCCCTTGGGCCTAATGGTCGGCCCAGTGGGAGGGGGGGTCTGTGGGGGAACTAGCCTAGTGGGGGATCCTTCCCCCGGGGCCTAATGGCCGGCCCAGGGGGAGGGAGTGCGGGAATGCCAAAGACATCCCCACACATCGCCAGTTGGCCATTTCACGGGTCCTGTTCCGTGTGGTTTTGCGCCGAAAGGGCGTCGACACGGTAAAGACCAAAGTGATCAGTACCCCCACACATACCGAAGTTTTGCGCCAAATGGGCGACGACACGGTACGCACCAAAATGGTACGCCCCCTTCGGATACGGCCAGTTAAACCCGGACCGGAACAGTTTGCCGAAGAGGGACGGGAAGGGTCCGTCATAGGTAAAGGCCCTGCGCCAGACGGCGAACGATTACGCCGCCGCACAAAGATTCTTTCCAGAGAATTTCTTTTGTTTTGTAAACATTGCTCAGATCAGATATGAAGCCAAAATTGTGTACCAATGGGTTTTCGGGGTCGGGGAATTGGCGGGGTCCGTTTGCTGTATTTCCAAGCAAAATCTCCAATTTGTGCTGATCTTGAGCCATTTTTCCCGTATTTTGGCTATAATTATCCCATAAGAACCCTTTGAAATTTTAATTGATGTTCTTAAAAGCTTTGGAATTCGATCCAGAGTTTATTCTCGAAAACAAAGAGCCCCAAAATCCAAAGGAATTTCTTCAATCGCAGGTAATATTATTAGGTTGTTGGGATATAAACGAGCGTTTGCACTGCTTAACTCGTGAGGAAGCCATTTCCCGCATCAGATCGTCTTTCCAATGGCGTGAAGATGCTCATAAATAGTAGAATTTGAACATAGAAACTGTTGAGCAAGTTCACGCGTCGTTTGACATGGATCCGATTCGATTGCAGCCCTCAAAATATCGTTGTCTACCGTTTGAGGTAGACACGATATTCTTGATGAGAGTGTTCATCATCCTCGAGACTTTCATCACGATTCCGAAAGCGTTGGAACCAGGCTCGGCATCGGCTTTCGGACAATACATCATTCACAAAGGCTTTGACCAAATCTCGATGGGATTCCACGACTGTTTTTCGCGGAATCCCATCGAGATTTGGTTAAAGTCTTTGTGAATCATGCAGAAAAATCGCAATTGCAATAACAAGATGGAAATCTCAGGGCTAATATTAACTCAAAATTTCGTAATTTCATAATTTCGTAGAGTATTTTGTATAATTTAAGAATGATAGACGATAGAGATTACGGGAAACTTGTACTAGAACTAAGAATCACTTTGTTAAAGTCAAGAAAGTGTTGTACCGGTTTGTACCCTCCCGAAAATGCTCACAGCTTTTTGTCCCTCTCTGCTTGTCCCGTCTTTGTTGATCAACGGTTTTTTCGGCCAGTGAGCTCTTTGTGTCTTTTCGCAATCTTTCTCCTTTCCAAGAAACTATTGACCAAAGAAAGCCCCAACGCGTTTATCACACGATGACCAATCCAACTAAAAAATCGACTGATTTAATGTGATTGTCTGATGTTCTGGAAAGCGCTTATACTCTGGTTTCTACTGTTTGAGATCTTTGGAACAGGTGACCAATTGAATAAGCCAATCAGAGCCAATCAGAGATTTTCAGAGATTCATGATCTAAAGAAATTTCCCGATTCTTTGGAGGTCCCAGAAAGATGTCGAAAATCGAAGAAGAAAATTCAAGATGATCCAAAGAGGAAGTGTGGGTGAGTGCAAAAAAAGATCAACGCGTTGTACAGAGTGACTCATAATATTATGGTACGCAATATGAAGGCAGATTAAGTCGAAAATGTGACAGATTACTTAAAGTTTGTTATCATTTCATTTTTATAACATTTACACACTTATATTTAAATTTTTAGCTTTATCGATTGGCTATAAGAAAAATTAGAGCTACTAGAAGCTCTGAGCATTCATCATATTAACTAGAAGATAACCCTTTTCATTATCATTTTAGAAACTTTTCATGGTCACTTTCATTATCATTATCATTTTGTATTCTAGCTCATTGATGTTCTAACCGGTTTCTTGGGCTCTAAGCCAGGCCAAACCAGACCAAACCAGACCAAACTATACTAAGCCAGTTCAAAGGCCGATCAGTGGCCGAAATCAAGCCTGGTTTCTGGTGCCTAAGAGATTTCTTTGTGGATCAAGACTGAAGTAAAACCAGGCCAAGCCTAACTACCTTTAGAACAACTCTCTCTAGCTATTGTACCCTAACACCAAGCTACTGTTAGATATAACTTAACTTGATGTACAAGATCCATAATGTGTTACGCAATATGAAGGCAGATTAAGTCGAAAATGTGTCAGATTACTTAAAGTTTGTTATCATTTCATTTTTATAGCATTTTCACACTTATATTTAAATTTTTAGCTTTATCGATTGGCTATAAGAAAAATTAGAGCCATTAGAAGCTCTGAGCATCTGGCACGATGCCTATTTTCTTATGAAATTGTGCTTAAAATGATTCAAATCTCAAAAATCTTCCTCAAATAATGTTTTTTTTGCTTTTTCTATGTTAAGGTCATAAATTTTTGTTTGAAATATTATAGGATCAAATTTTAATTGCTTAAATTATTGCCATGTTTAAAACGAGATGAAATTTTGGGTTTGGTTTCTTTTGAGTGTTTTAGAGGTTTCAATACTTTGGTGGTTGGAAGGGACCACTTTTATCCTGGCCTAGTTGGATCTAAGATTTGTATGGACCACCTTGTACATAAAGTTAAGTTATATCTAACAGCAGCTTGGTGCTAGGGTACAATAGCTAGAGAGTTATTCTAAAGGTAGTTAGGCTTGGCCTGGTTTTACTCCAGCTTTGATCCACAAAGAAATCTCTTAGACACCAGAAGTCAGGCTTGATTTTGGCCTTTGATTGGCCTTTGAACTGACTTAGTATAGTTTGGTCTGGTTTGGTCTGGCTTAGAGCCCAAGAAGCCGGTTAGAACATCAATGAGCTAGAATACAAAATGATAATGATAATGAAAGTGATCATGCAAAGTTTCTAAAATGATAATGAAAAGCGTTATCTTCTAGTTAATATGGTTAAGCTTTTCTTGATCGATTAATAATTTAGGAAAGCATTTCTCAAAGCCTACGACTTTGATGTTCGTTCAAAGAAATGTCACGTGGTCACCAATCCGAACACTTGTATCCTCCCACACCAATTCATCACAAAAGCTGAATGTGAACTAGTTTGTTTAGACATTCATCCGTCAGAGGAATCAAATGAATCTCTAGGTTCAGAAGACTAAAGAAGCTGAATCTCTAGGTTCAGAAGAATAAAGAATCTTTATACCGCAAAGTTTTATCACAATAAATACAATGTATGAATCTTATAAATGTTTATTTCCAATGATGTGGTGTTGGGAATTTTGGAACACGCGGAGATTTCGGTCGAGGAAGACCTCGTCCTTTTCTTCCCAAGCCTTTTCCTTGAGTTCTTTTGTTCTAAATGTGATTGTTAGATAATTGTTCTGGCTATAGTTCTGGCTATTGCTTCTTATTCTAAGATTGGTTTTAAATCTAAGATTCAAGGCATGATCAGTTACATTAACTACACTTCGAACCTGTTTTCTTTTGTGCCAAAACTCTCTCAGCATTCTGCCAGCATTTCTACCAGCGCCCTGTCTCTAAAAGTTTTTCTTATTTTATGCAAACTATAAACTATAAAACTACAAGTTCTAAACTATATATTGAACTATAAAAAAGCAGTGCAAAGTTTTGATGAAAGCCTTGAAATGCAAAGTTCTGAAAGGAAAAACCTTTGTTCTAACCAACGAATCCTCCTCAAAATCCTTGCTCGAATAGGCACCAATCTTAGAAACGAACAAGAAAAGTATAAAAAGAATAATCGTTTTCATTGCAAAACTAGAAAATATTGCTGTTTTCTTGGCCTTATAAGTCTTTTCCTAAGAATGGAAACATGAAAATACAAAGAAAATGAATCGGAAGAAGGAAGGGACGGTGAATAGACACAATAAAGATCCACCTCGTGATCTCTTTTACCCAAAAACCGGACAAAGATCATTGTTTGATGTACATCTGTGAATCATTCTGGTGTCGAATTGGTCTCTCTTTTTCAAAAATAGCTTGATGCACTTGATCAAAGTACACCAAGCTTTTCTTACATACCTTTTCTTGCGTGTTAGATGTTAGATATGTTAGATATGCTTATACCTTTTCTTGCATGCAAACTTCTTTGTGGTACAATTGCCAAAGACGCATAAAGCCTTCTTTAAATACATATTTTGTTTCATCAAAAGGGTCCTCTAGCATCTACTTTAATTATCATCTTAGCACTTTTATTGTTTAATATTCTCATTCTTATTCATCTTATTCATCTTCTTCATCAAGCCATCAGCAACTTTCAATGGTGGAATTGAGGAGGAAGAAGTTAACGTTTATGCCGAGGAATTAGACCTGCAAATGAATGCCAGTAAACGAAGGGAAGCCGATTTAAAAATGAAGTTGGAAGAAACGAAAAGGATGACCGAGGAGTCACGTCGACTTGAAACGGACATAGATTTGAACGAAATATTTAACCAGCTTCAAACTCTTGTTTATCAACAACACGACATGGTTGATTCGATCGAAGAACACGTTGAACAAGCTAGAAACGACGTCGGCAGAGGAAATGAGCAGCTCAAGAGTGCTGTGAAAAACAAGAACGCCAAGGTCCCCATAATAACAGCCGTCGTTGGTGGCTTAGCACTAGGAGAACCAGTGGGCGTCGCTGCCGGTTCAATGCTGGCTGGCACAGCTGCTGCCGTGGGATGAGCTTTTGCAGGTCTTTATGGAGGTCGATGGATCAAGAAATCAAATTAACTTACCAGCAGCACCGACAACACTCGAATTCATGTGTCCATGATAACCCAAACCATCGAGAAGAAACGCATACAGTGAAGGGAACCGATTTGACGGGGCTGAAATTGGGTGCTCTGATCTATCTGATGATCATCTGATGATTATGAATACTATGATCGTTCATAGTATTCATAGTAGTATCTATTCATTAAATGAATTCCTTTTGATCTTAAGGAAAGATCAATATATTAGGTTGGGGAGAATGAAATAGCGCCGACTTTAAAGAACTTTAAAGACACTTTTTGCATGCATAAAACCATCTTTAAAGACACGTTTCGTTTCATCAAAAGGCTCTACTATTTCTCTACAAAATGACTTTTGAGAGATTCCACAAAGCCTTTCTTTCGTGGAGTTTATGGACTCCCAAACACAGCTAGTCAAAATGGCAAAGAATCCAACTCATCGTTTGAACAGCTTCTTCCACATAAATTTTCTTTGGTGTCTACATAAAAAAGATAGAGCACACTCAATTACTTAAGTTGTCAAATTTTCAGGAAGATCCCTCCAACCGTTTTCTCTAGATGACAGTTTATAGATTTTGTGAAAAGAATGGGCTTTATTGAGTTGAGGCGTTGTTTTAGTCTCCTTTTAAATGTCATTTTGTAGAAAATTAGTTGACCTTTCTACTGATATCAAACTCGTGTCATTTGATGACATCCAGCCTTGATAACAGCCCTTAATCGGTTCGGATATGCCTCCACTGCGGCCCGAATGTCATCTTGAGGAATCGCCTTCCATCCTTTGGTCAAAGACTTCTTCAAGGTCAAAGAGCAGACATTAGCATCTAAGATTGCCCAAATGGAAAAGTGCATCACATTGAGATCCGGTGAGTTTGGAGGCCATTCATCCATGATCACTGAGGGAAAGTTGGCCACACACCAGTCCTGAACCGTCTTCTTCGTGTTAGCGGGAGGCAATTAGGCAAGAGTAAAGAAGATAGAACGCAACACAACAAAAAAGGGGGCATAAAAAATAAGAAAGCTGTTTGGAAAACGGTCTTTGAACTCTTGTTGCAATAATTATGACGCACCCTGTAGGCTAGATTTATTACTGATCGTAAAGGGTTTGGAAGTTAAATCAATTGGGCACTTGGAAACTTCTTTCATCAACAAAATCCTCATGTGATTGTGTAATCCAAGAATGGAATCAAAGAATGTGATCAAATAACAAAAGATTTGTAAACTTTTAGCTATCAACTACTTTAGAAAAATAAAGAGGCAATCTTTGAAATGGTCCTAGGAACTGTCTTAAGGGCTTTTTGAAATGTTTCAAATGTTTGAAATGTTTCAAATGTTATGAAACTCGATTTCAGTACAAGTGCTTGCTTCTTAAAGAAGATAGAACGCAACACAACAAAAAAGGGGGCCAAAAAAATAAGAAAGCTGTTTGGAAAACGGTCTTTGAACTCTTGTTGCAATAATTATGACGCACCCTGTACTGCTTTCAATTGGAATGTTACACGGAAAGCTCACCCCGATTCGCATCATCGCTCTCATTCAGCCATATCGACGATACTGTGCCGATTCGAGTAAGAAAGTGATCAGATATTTTCGTAGAAAGTTTATTTTACAAAACCACCAAAATTTCAGCATTAACAAACGCGAAGTAACAATCGTGATAACAAAAACGTCAGAAAGCGCAAAAGAAGAATTTCGGACTGAAATTTTCTTTTGATTTTCAGATTTCCTTCTACAGTGCGGTGCAAAACCATACGCCACCCCCTAAATTTCAACTTTCTGCGGCTCCCGTGCCAGTGACAAAAAAACTGAAAACGTAGTTAGATTCAGGACCAAAAATAACCCTTGAGCGATTGGTTCGACGACTCATCTCGGAAATTGACAATCCAAGTTGCTGATGAGGTCGAGTTGAGCTTGCTCCCCGTCAGAGAGTTGAGTTGCTTTCGGCATTGTTTTTTTTAAGTTGAAGTAAGACAAAGTAAGCTCTTTAGGACTCCTTATAAGGAATCTGAAGTGAAAGGGCGGGATTTATGTTTGTCAGAGGCAGGTTTAGCTTTTAAACTAGAAAAAAGTATGAAATGACACCAAAATTTGGGGGGTGGCGTACGGTTTTGCACCGGGTGAATTTTTGTTTTTTGGCTGTTACATTCTCCCTATTCATGCTATGTCGACGATTTTTGGGGTTGAAGGGTTATTTTTGGTCCTGAATCTAACTACGTTTTCAGTTTTTTTTGTCACTGGCACGGGAGCCGCAGAAAATTGAAATTTAGGGGGTGGCGTATGGTTTTGCACCGTTAATAACAGAGAAACCGAGACCAATCAGTCTTTTTTGTTTTTGATTGATATTAGTTTTCTTGACATTCATTGTTGTTTTGATTGCAAAGTAATATTGGTCTAGACAATTCTCGACCATTCTCATCAAACATCCTCCAAATATTTTCGCTTTTCACATGTTCACAAAAGTTTTAATTTTGTTTGCACCTGTTGTTTGGGTTCGTTTCTTTACTTGCACCCATTTCATTGCGATAATTCGATAAAGCAGGAATCAGAAAAGGATTCTCCAAAAGGATTCTTTCATGGCCTTTTCTTAGTGTAGCTACAGAAACTGTAGACTATGAAATCTTGATTCCAAAGCATACCTAGATTGGTATCTGAGTTATATTAGTACGTGAACATTGTACCTCCAATTCTCATCAAACATTTTACAAATATCTTCGCTTTTCACCTGTTCACAAAAGTTTTCATGTTGTTTGCACGTGTTATTCCGGTTCGTTTCTTTACTTGCACCCATTTCATTACGATAATCCGATAATCTTCAGCTTCTCTCTCTCATTCCCCATCCTCAGAATGCCCCCTCCGTCGTATCCGTATCTATATCTTCGTGTCTCCTCATTAATTGGGTATACAGGAGCGATTATCGGCGCTCTCGCTCTATATATTATGATAGTCGCGAGTCCCAAAGACATGAAAACATATAAATATTGTTTGATGGTGATGCAGGTAATGTGATAAGAAAGTTTAAAATAGTAGGCTCGTCTCAAATTCAATAGGTTTTCTCAATGGCTCTCGATCTGGTGTTTCACGGTTTCGTCCCGGAACTTTATACACCCGCGTTCGTTCTGAAATCTTATGGGATTTTATACGAAGTGTTTCACATCAATGCATTTATGCTTTACGTTTGTCAAAAACATGAATCTACATAAACGACAAATCCAGGAACTGGGGGGCGCATGTGCATGGGGAATCGTCTTTGGGACGATCCTCTGCTTTCTCTATCGACACCAATTGGTGTTACCGCAAGGGCATTGGGCACGGTAGGTTTGATTCGACTCGACAAACCACTTAAACCCTTTCAACTTTCTAATGGAACGGCCGCCCTTTAGCACAATTTCACCTGACTAGATCTAAAAGTATCAGGCGCGTTGCAAAATCATAGGACCACTCCTAAATTTTACATTTTCTGGTTATGAAACTTAATAACGCTAAATAGCTCTTAAATCCTCTTAAACTCTTAAAGAAATATATACAAAAGTATGCATCAATAACGTTCTAACGCTATTTGAATAAATTGCAACAAAATTATAACGATATTATTATCCAACACCCGTTGCAAAATGATAAGACCACAAAAAAATAACAATAAATCGGAAAATAAACTCGAAACAAACGAAAAGCAGTAACGAAAAATTCATTAATAATCACTAGAGGCTCCCTTTTTCTCGATCACGTCCGTAGTCGATTTTCTATCTAGTTCACGAAGTTTTGAAGCGTTTGTGGTGAAATTAAAATCCAAGCCCAAAATGGCTCTTTTGAGTTGAGAAATCGTGTCGTAAGTTTTCCCATGGATGTTTTCCCGTTTTCCCAAGGATGCCGTTTTCCCAGTTTTCCCGTTTTCCCAAGGATGCCCCACAAGTTTTCTATTGGGTTAAAGTTCGGTGAGTTAGAGAAAATCGATGTTGCGACGTCCCAGGAAAGCCTTAGTGGATTGGTTGACATGAATTGAAGCATTACCCTCTTTAAAAATGTAGTTTTTCTCTGGATTTTGTGCTAGGAAAGGAACAGTTGATGCGGAAAAGACGTCCTCGCAATCGTTCGAGTTCATGCGACAAGTCACAAATTATAAATCAAGAACGTCATCCATATTGAAGGTGATCTTCCTCCGAAGTTTCGACGACCACAAAGCATTGGATCCTCTCTCAAACTTGTCAATAGTACTTATTGCCGTCTGGACCATCCAAATTAAATTTTTTCTCATCGCTGAAGATGACCTACCAAGAAAAAAAAATTAGTTAAAAACTCAAGGCAAGAAGTATACTTTTCTCTTTCGTCCTTTTTCCTTTGTGCACCGGCTTCAGTTTTGGTGCACAAAGGAATACCTTATTCAAGGCCGAATAACTTAATCTACACTAAATACCGGAACCCAGCTAATCTAAACTGAATACCCATTCCAGACCAAATACCGTAATCCAGCTAATCTAAACTGAATACCCATTCCAGACCAAATACCGGAACCCAGCTAATCTAGACTGGATACCCCATCTAGACTAAATACCGTAATCCAGCTAACTTAGACTTCTTCATGACTGCTCTTTTGATGTAAGGCATACACTTGACGGCTCGAGAAAGAGTGCTTTTGTGGACGGGAGCTCCAATTTTTGCCTTGACGTCCTGTAGCGACCTTCGACAACAGACGTCCAATATGCCGTTCTTAAAAAAATTAGTTTAAAAAAGAAATAGAACAAGCGAAAAAAAATGGTTATTACAGGTAGAAAATGAAAAAGAAATGTGGTTTGCTATCATTTTGCTATTAAATGATTTTGTAAACGGTATTTGTGCTTACTTTTGTATATAAAACTAGAATTTAAGCGCCGTTTCGCACGAAATAACCGTTTTTAATGTGTGTAGTGCAGTGCAACCCTAAGTTTCATTTCAACGGGCACGATGTGCTTGGGATTACTCCGAACCTGCGACTAACCGAGCGAAACGTTGCTTAACTTGGCAGATCGCGTGACAGATTGATGGCCGTGTTTCAGCGTGACGAAAACGTAAAGACCTCTTCAAAAAGTCGACTTTTACCATTTGGGTCTATTAGCAAGTTTGACGAAAGCCGAAAATTTTGAAACCCATGGGTAAGATCTGTCATCAAAGTTCTAATAAAAGGCTTCTTTGAGAGAGATCATCAATCCTAGATTGAAACTTTTTATAAATGTTTAGTGATTGAATCTTCTCTTAGATTTTTGATTAGATTTTTGCCGGATCACATTCTCAATGTCATTTTCCAGCTTTCGATCGTCATCCTGGGCGATATTTCTCCTTTCACATACAATCTATGTCGGCTTTCATATGTGGGCAGTATATGCGATTCCATTCCAGCATCCACCAAATGCAAGCGGATTGCCAACGGTTCTCAAGGTTCTCTTTCTGTTCCTCCTTTAGTTTTGTAGGAAACATTCATTCAAATGTTTAGAAGAGAACGTCAAGAACCTTTATTAATTAAGATAATGAATAAATTATGAAGTGATAATGAATAAATTATGAAGGTGCTCTAGAACTATCCCGATTTGGTATGGATTCAATCTGATGCGGATGTGTGGATTGGGAACTCGGCTGCCCCATTGGCTCCTCCATATTTGAATATTCAATGTGGTCAAGTGATTTTCTTGATCACCATCGTTATCGTCATTGAACTTGTATCATTAGTGAGCAATTTCTGTTACCGTGTTTCGTAAATTATCAAATGAAAGAGTCGAATGTCAGTAATATCGTGAATTATGACTTGAGATGCTGAAAGTGAATAGGAAAGTGTCAGTAATATCGTGAAACTGTCAGTAATATCGTGAAAGTGTCAGTAATATCGTGAAAGTGTCAGTAATATCGTGGTTTCGTACTAAAGATACAGAGTACGCAAACATAGACGAGCAAAGAAAAAAGCGTTTAAAATCTTGTTTACAGGGAATCATTCTGATCTTTCAAATGTTTTATTTTCTGAAAAATGCGACGAGTTATATGAGTGAGAGGATGAGAGCGCTGAATAGACGATTCATCAACGCTTTGCTGATTCAGGTGAAAGCTTGTGAGATTTTATGATAGATGGCGTTTGCTTTTACCAATTTTGAAGCCTGAAATTCCACAACTATTATAAACTGCAGGGTGCGTCATAATTATTGCAACAAGAGTTCAAAGACCGTTTTAAAGAAGAATGTGATGTCATGGGCGTGTAAAGCCAATAACAATCAAAATTGGACCTTCATGCAAGATGGAGCTCCCGCTAACACGAAGAAGACGGTTCAGGACTGGTGTGTGGCCAACTTTCCCTCAGTGATCATCAAGGATGAATGGCCTCCAAACTCACCGGATCTCAATGTGATGCACTTTTCCATTTGGGCAATCTTAGAGGCTAATGTCTGCCCTTTGACCTTGAAGAAGTCTTTGACCAAAGGATGGAAGGCGACTCCTCAAGATGACATTCGGGCTTAGGCTTAGGCATATCCGAACCAGTGGAGGCATATCCGAACCGATTAAGGGCTGTTATCAAGGCAAAAGGCGGTCATATCGAATGATCTCTTGTTTCCTCATTTGTTACTGTTAAATAAAGCTATTTCTGTTTAAAAATCTTCTTCCAGTGAAACTTCTGGTGTGCAATGCCTTGAGTATCTTGTTGCAATAATTATGACGCACCCTGTATATTATTCGAGCTTGTTTTTGCAAAGAAATCGAGTATTGTTCAGGTTGGCGTTCCCGCTCTAACCATCGCTTTTCCTTCATTTATTAAAGGTATCATTTCGCGTATGGGAAATCCGATTTCACAAGGTAAGCGTGTGATGGAAAGATTTCTTAAATCTACAATTTCATACAACTTTCTATACAACTTTCTTTTACTTTTCAGAATTCATCAATCTAACGCTTCTTTGTGCCATGTTACACGGAAAGTTGACCTCGATTCTCATCATCGCTCTCATTCAACCATATCGACAATATTGTGTTCACAAGTTGTGGAAAATAATCGGGTATTTTTCATTAGAAAGTTTCGTTTTTAAAAGAATGATCACCGAAATTTCAGTCTCACAAAACCCGACATAACAATCGTGACATCAAAAACTGGATAATCACATCAGCAACAATAAAACTCTTATCTCGCATTCACAGCAGTAAATTACAAATGGTGTTTATATATAGGTTTTGCATTCAAACCGGCATAAACATCAGTATTGAATCACTGAAACCACTGAAAATCTCATTCTTTTGTGTCCTGGTTAAACTTTTGAATGAATACAATAAAAGCCTGATGATTCAGTCATAATCTTTCAAAACTCCAGGTACAAGAGGAGCAAAATGAGCTTTCAACAATGAGAAGCAAAAAAAAACGTTCAATTAACTCTTTCCACGTAACTAAACTGGATGAAATCTCACGAAAATTAATCAAGAAAATTTTTGACTTATTCTTGACATTGGCGATGGCCACGTTAGTCATTTTTCGCATTCAAACCATTCAAACCGGCATAAACATCAGTATTGAATCACTGAATACCTTTTCTTGCGTGTTAGATGTTAGATATGTTAGATATGCTTATACCTTTTCTTGCATGCAAACTTCTTTGTGTTTTTTTGTTTTTTTTTTCTTATTTCTGTTTCCTTTTTTGGTTTAATCGGATCAAATCGTACATATCTAACAACAAAAACCTTTCTCCGTCGCTCTTGCAACATTCTCAGCTTGGCAACATTCTCAGCAACATTCTCAGCTTAACAACATTCTCAGCAACATTCTCAGCCCAAATCTCTGCAAAATATTGTTTCAGTTTCAGTTTCGAAACACGTTTAGGCTTTGCAAACTCACAAACGATCAAAGCTTACAGCTAAAATGCTTCAGAAACTTTTGGTTGAGTCAACGAGTTCATCGAAATCCTTGCTCAAATCGACACCAATACAAGAAACAAATAGGAAAAGGATCACTAAAATTATCATTTTCATTATAAAACTAGATTTTCAAGGGTTTTCAAGTTCCTATAAGCTTTTGACCAGGAATGAAACCCAACAAATTACCGCGAAAAAAGAAAGAAACCTAGACAGAACAGGATTTGGGTTTATTTACCCGAATATTTATCCGATTTGGTTTATTTACCCAAAAGATCATTACTGATTGGACATTCAGCCGTACTTTTTGTGTCTTGATTGCTCAAAATCAAAGTTTATTTCAATCAATAATAGCACAAGTTGCAGGAGCGAGCACAGTATTGTCGCTTTTGGTCATTTGTGTAGACAGTGTTTGAGCAGAATCCATTTTGAGCCCATTGAGAGCACCTAGAATTTGGGTAACTATGCATTGCTTTGCATTGCATGGTAACAATGCATTGCTCAAGCGAATTTAACAAATTAGGAGATTCTAATACTATCTGTTTTTACGGTAGAATGTCTACAAGACCACAAGTCTTGTAGATATTTTGCCGTAAGACTTTTAATCTATTTAAGCAATGGATCTTTATCCACCTTTATCCATGAAAATCGATCTTTGTCCAATGATAAGTCAAAACTCACATATAATTCGAATCCGTACATGTGATTGACGGGAAATTCGGTGAATATTGACACAAATTACAGCTTCTCGCACAGTACTGATACTTCTGTGCGCTGGTATAGGCTGTGTTCGAGCAGAAACCATTTTGAGTCCAGATTTTGCAACTGAATTTGGGTTTTCTTGATAACGATGGGAAATTCACGTGGTAGTTGAATCCTGACATAGTAAACCAACACCATTTCCAATCCCTAGCACTTGGAAACCATCTTGGCTTTGTGCTCCGATGCCGATCACAGGGCCGAACTCGGCTCCGGTGCCGATTTGAGCGGCGACTTGCTGGAGATTATTTCTTGCTATTTCTTGCTAATAAATTTATAATATTCAGTTTTTAAGCTAAATACATTTGCTTTTGCATACTGTAAATGTAATGTAAATGTAAATGTAAATTAAAAGGCCAATACAACCCCACTCAAAACATTAGATCCAACTAAGCCAGGATAAATGTGGCCCCTTCAAAGTACACCAAAGTACCGATGATTAAAGTACCGATGGTAAAGTACCGACCAAAGTACCAGTACCGAGGATTCTAAAACTAACATTAAGGCAAAAGCTTAAAGCAAAAAGTAATAATTCTAAATTTATTAACCCTTTTCAAGCACTAATAACTAATTCAAAGTAATGTAAATGGAAAGGTAATGTATTGGGTTGGGGACTATGACTCAGCGGCTAGTTTGTCATATGTGACAGTTTGAGCACTTTCTTCAAAAGAAACCCATTTCGGTGTCAATGGAAAAGTTGTAGAGAATCAAAAATCAAGCGTATATCCAAATTTTCAGAACGATTCAAACACTGGTTTTCAAGAAATGTCAAATTTACGAATTTTCACATAACTTGCATTTTAAGCGAAACTACTAAGTGTATCTTATTGGAAATTTGGCTATAAGCCTAATTTTTGATTATCTATAACTTTTCCATTAACACCAAAATGGGTTTCTTTTGAAGAAAGTGCTCAAACTGGGACATCTCCAGTCCTCGATTTTTGAGTCTCACACTTGTCTCACACACAAACCAAAATCCTACTACGAAAGAGGAATCCGCAAATTGCCTGTAAAATGGGCAGAAGTCGTCAATAATAATGGAAATTATTTCGAATGAATTGATGGTTTTATGTTCAATAAATTTGCCTTTCTTTTGTCCGCCGAGTCATAGTCCCCAACCCAATAATGTAATGTAATGTAAATGTAATGTAAATGTAATGTAAATGTAATGGAAATGTAATGGAAATGTAAATCATAATTAAAGTCTAAAAAACCAACTTGCAATACCAAAATAAAGATGCAAATAAAAACATTCGATTCTGAGATCATTTCGAGAAAATTTTTGAGTCAAAGAAAAACCTAACCGCTTTTATATTGACCTTTTTATCCACAAGATCTAACTCTGTCAATAAAAAAGTTTTCACTGGCCATCAAGAGTCGATGAGTCACTTGTGTGCAAAAGAAAGAACTCAAATAGTAAGCACTTACCGACAAAAACCTTTGACAATATTGGGATGGTGAATTTTGTGACGTAGAAAGAACAATAAAGCTTCTTAGATATTAGGTGTGTGAAAAAGTAATCCACGTTTTTTATTTTTATTTTGTTTAAATAAATATATCTAAACAATTTTTAATTTTTTGTTAACGATATATATATCGTTTAAAAGCTTATTTTTTTCCTCTTTCGAATGATATATTCATTTTGTTAAAAGGACGATAATAAACTACTTTCATTTTAGTTTGAAAATGGTATACACAAGTATCGTTATTCGGTCAAATTTGCTTTATGACTTCAAAAATGGGTTGAAAGCTGCGGAGGCTGCACGTCGAATTCGGAATGCGTTTGGCGAAGACGCCGTTACTGATGATACCGCTAGGTTTTGGTTCCAACGATTCAAAGGTGGTAATGAAAGCCTAGACGATGAACCACGTGGCGATCGCCCTGAGACCTGTTCGGATGACCAAATAAGACGCTGTCTTCTCGAAAACCCTCGTTCAACCTCTTCAGAAATAGGCCTTACATTAAATTGTGATGGGTCAGCCGTAAGGAAACGCTTGAATGCCATGAATTTTATCAAAAAGTTGGACAAATGGATACCGCATAAACGTTAAAAACGTGGATTACTTTTTCACACACCTAATAGTTTATTAGATTGAACATTGAGAGCTGATCAGTGATTGTAGCTTCTTTGATAGTTTTCTTGACAATATTAACTTGTTTTCAATTGATTTTTTATTACTTTTTTTAACTTATCAATAAGTTGTATCACTTTTCTTTCATTATCTCCTTTTTTGTTTGTAAAGTACAAGATGTAAAGTACAAGATGTTCAATATTTATGGAGACTTTTGAGCTCCCAGATCGTTTAGCGCTCGCAAAATTGAACAAGAAAGCTTCTTAGATACTTTATTAGATTGAACATTGAAAATTTAAGCACTTGGACACAAATTGCACGATTTTGGGCAATATTGGGTTCGAGTCGCGTCGTTGTAGGCGGTGTTTGTGCAGAAACCGTTGGACACCCATTGAGCACAGCTAAATTCTTATTTTATGAGACGATTTACAAGTTTGATTTTGTGAAAGTTCTTTAAAGTTAAAGTTAAAGCTTGATTTTCGAAATTCCGATTGTTTACCTATTTTGAAAACATTTCCAAACGATTCCCCGACCTCAAAAACCCCCGGTTCAAGTTTTTAACTTTTAATTCTTAGATATAACAAGTACAGAGTGCAAGCCAGATAAATCAACATTACAACATCATGAAAGCAACACATTACAGTAATGAGTTCAGGATTTTACGCTCAGAATCTTAACATATCCAAAATAAACACCCCCAATCGTTTCCTTGTCCCCGAAAACCTTTGTTGTGTGCAATAAAGGATTAAAACAAATAGAATTAGACAAAATAAATTCCGTCAATGGCTTAAAACTAACGAAAAACGTATTTAAAAGTGAAATCATTTTCTTACCCGGTCTCCCACAGAAAATCAGAAATTTCCCGAAAAAATTCCTTTGGTCCCCCACATAAAATTTTTTTGAAAAATCATTTTTCAAATTTCTTTAAAAAGATATTATAAATTTTACTCCCGACCCCAGATTATTCATTTTTATGCTCAAATCTTTCCATAAAGGGCTACATATGTGTCAAAAGTCGATATTTCGACTTTTGACAAAGGGTCAAGGCTTCTATTAAAACTTTTTACGGAAAGTTCATTTTCATGAAGTAAAACCCTACTTTGAGTTATTATCTACACAAGTGGTGGTGGTGGTTGTGCACAAGTTGCAGCTCTTCTTGCAGTATTGAGCCCGTTGAGCGGCGGTGTAACCGGAATTCGTGCAGAAACCGTTGGCCACCCAACTTGTGCAGCTGTAATGTAAAAAATGTAAAAGAAAGAAAAGAAATGTAAAAGAACCAATCAAAAGTCTGATTTCAAGAAGCAAAAGTCTAACAGACCTGGTGTAAGCATCGACGCAGGTGCTGAGAGCATCCTAAATTGAATCAAATTCAATTGAGTCATTTCTCAAAGGCTTTCTTCTCATGTAAGGGATTTGGTTGCTATTCTGATACTGATACAATCAATAAAGTCAATTTTCTAGTCAGATAACAATACTCGCTCCATTCAATTGAGATCTATCAATCACTTTTCTTTGTGCCAGGATGACTTTTCTAATCAATAACTTTTCTTTCTTTGCTTACCAAGAAGCATACATCAGCTCCATTACTCAAATAGCATGTGCTTCCCGTTGGACAAGCTTCTCCATCAGGTTTTGCTAAAATTTACTTTCAAATGAAGTTAGACAAAGCTTACGTCCTGATCCAGCACTTGTAGGGACAGTAGATGGTCTGGCTGGGCAATCAGTTGAAGCAAGAACCTAAAGGAATGTTTGATTTTGGAATTTGTGCTGAATTTAGTTGAATTTTATCATTTAAAACACAAAATTGTTAGAAATTGCTGAATTCGATTATTTTAAGTGATTAGAAGTTTACCTGTTGAGCAGAAAGAGTAAGAATTGTGAAAATGGTGATTTTAGCGAGCATTTCGGAGTGGATTGCCTCGAAAGCTGAGTAGTTGATATTGAGAAAGATTCTCGCAAGATATTTATACAAAAGTTATGCCCTACAAGCTCTGCTCTGGTCCAGCTTTGCAAATATAGCTTTAAAGGTTTCCTACGTTTTTGACCTTTTCCAAAAATTGCGTTCCGATAAAAGTCTCTAAAAAGGAATGGTCTCTGATCGGGAATTTGGAAAAGGTTATCGTTTGTGTCACTGGGAAAAAGCTAAGCAAACATTTTCTAACGAAATGACTGACTATGGTAAAAGAATTTTAATTTTAATGGGATTTTAAACTTTGCAATGATTCTGACAAAAAAACGTGACAATTCGTGTCAGTTTTGGTATTTGTGATCGATCTATTTTGTGGAACTGTAAATAAAATTCTCCCCGTCGTACTGAACACATTCGTGACGGCTGTATTTTGGGCGTACAGTCGTGTAGTCGTTAATTGTTTTACTGATAATTTAGTAACAGATCAATTGACAGAAGTCAATTGACAGATCAATTGACAAATTCAAAGATAAATTATATTAGAGGGTGACCAGAAATAACGTTGCTAATTTAATTTAGCCTAATTTAGCCTATTTTTTAAAAATCCAAAAAAGATTTTGTAACAGAAACAATTTTTTATTAACAACAGATATAAAGAGAGTATACAGGGTGCAGCAAAAGTTCGGAGCCGCTATGAAAACATTGCAGAAAATTTAGCTCACGTTTTTTTTGTGTCTCGTATACTTTTCTCCCTTTTTTCGAGTATAATTAAGGTGATTTGTTACAAAAAATTTCTTTTTAGAAGAAAATTCATAAGAATGAACGCCAGAAAACGACGCGATGTGGTTCTCGGATTATACCAAGGCGGAAAAAATAGCCCGGAGCTTGTAAAAATCACGAAATATCCAAAAAGCACCGTCAACAAAGCAATTAAACGCTACAAGGAGATAAAGAACAACAAGGATCGCCCTCGAAGTGGTCGACCACCAACTGCCATAACACCTACGAACATCAACGAAATTCGCTTTCGGATTCGCCAAAACAAGCTGCGGTCGATGCGAAAGATGGGCAAACAACTGAAAATTAGCCCTCGAAGCGTTGGAAGGATTGTTGAAGGGAAACTAAGATTCTTTAGCTACAAATTGGCTAAAGCACACGTCTTGAGCGACAAATCCTAGAAGAAACGAAAGCGTCTAGCAAAGAAGATGGTGCGCTCGGTGGCGACTGGCCTACTTGAGAGGATCCTCTTCACAGATGAAAAGATTTTTTCTATCCAGTCATTGCACAACCGCCAAAATCATAGATAACTTCTCAAAAGGGTTCTGAAGAACACATTTGTGGCAAATTTGATGGTTAGAAAGCATTTTTCAGCTTCGATTATGATGTGTGGAGGTATGTGTGCTACAAGCAAGACACCGCCCGTTTTTTGGACAGAAAAGTCAAGATGAATGCTAAAAACTGCCAACAACTGGTATTAAAAGATGTCTGGAAACATTGGGCAACAAATCACTTTGGACAAGCTGGTTTTTCCCTGCAACAAGACTGGGCTCCGGCGCATGGTGCTCACTCAACTCTCAACGTTTGCGCTCAGTTGTTTTCAGGCTTTTGGGATAAGACCATTTGGACTTCAAATTCGCCAGATCTTAATCCCCTCGATTACACCGTCTGGGCTATTTTGGAAGGCAAGATCTCGAGAAGACGAGCAAGGCAAGATCTCGAGAAGAAGACGTAGCAAACAGTGGATGCTTTAAAATCTGCTCTGAAACGAGTCTGGGATGAAATAACTGTTTAAGCGTGCGCCACCATCGTGAGGAACTTCCCAAAGCGTTTAAAGAGGTGTATCGAAGCGGATGGTGGAAATTTCGAGCATTTGTTATAAGTTATTTATTGTTATGATTCGAATAAAGAGTTTGTTATTAATTTTTAACTTTTTAAAGCTAGTTTTTAAACCTTTAACTATCTTAAGAAGCGGCTCCGAACTTTTGCCGCACCCTGTAAAATCTACTTTTCTTCAAAGTGGCCACCTTTGGCTCCGATGCAGAACCCCAAACGCTTGATGAAGTTTTCGGCGATGGGCCGCAGCTCGGCCGAAGTGATTCGATCCCATTCCCTGGTCAACGATCGCTTAAGAGCCTCCAAACTTTTGTGGGATTTTGCACAAACCCTTGCCTCCAAAATTGACCAAACACTGTAGTCCAACGGATTGAGATCACACGAATATGGAGGCCATTCCCGGGCCGAGATGAAATCCGGAAAGTTTGTCCTACACCAGTCCTGTGTGGATTTG